GGAGGGACCCGAACGACTCACACCAGGACGAGGGGCCCGAACGACTCACACCACGAGGAGCCCGAACGACTCACACACAAGGAGGGGCCCGAACGACCACACCAGACGAGGCCCCGAACGGCCCGAGGAGCCCGAACTCACACACAAGGAGGGGCCGACGGACACACACCCGAACGACTCACACCACGAGGAGCCCGAACGACTCACACACAAGGAGGCCCGAACGACTCACACCAGGACGAGGGGCCCGAACGACTCACACCACGAGGAGCCCGAACGACTCACACACAAGGAGGGGCCCGAACGACTCACACCAGGACGAGGGCCCGAACGACTCACACCACGAGGAGCCCGAACGACTCACACACAAGGAAGGCCCGAACGACTCACACCAGGACGAGGGGCCCGAACGACTCACACCACGAGGGAGCCCGAACGACTCACACCAGACGAGGGGCCCGAACGACTCACACCACGAGGAGCCCGAACGACTCACACACAAGGAGGGGCCCGAACGACTCACACGACGAGGGCCCGAACGACTCACACACGAGGGCCCGAACGACTCACACCACGAGCCCGAACGACTCACACCACGAGGAGCCCGAACGACACACAAGGAGGGGCCCGAACGACTCACACCAGGACGAGGCGCCCGAACGACTCACACCACGAGGGGCCCGAACGACTCACACCAGGACGAGGGCCCGAACGACTCACACCACGAGGAGCCCGAACGACTCACACCAAGGAGGGGCCCGAACGACTCACACCAGGACGAGGGGCCCGAACGACTCACACCACGAGGCCCGAACGACTCACACCAGGACGAAGAGCCCGAACGACTCACACACGAAGAGCCCGAACGACTCACACCAGGAGGGGCCCGAACGACTCACACCAGGACGAGAGGCCCGAACGACTCACACCACGAGGAGCCCGAACGGCTCACACCAGGACGAGGGGCCCGAACGACTCACACCACGAGGAGCCCGAACGACTCACACTCAAGGGATGGGCCCGAACGAATCACACCAGGACGAGGGACCCTAACGACTGACACCACGAGGAGCCCGAACGACTCACACACAAGGAGGGGCCCGAACGAATCACACCAGGACGAGGGGCCCGAACGACTCACACCACGAGGAGCTCGAACGACTCACCCACAAGGAGGGGCCCGAACGACTCACACCAGGACGAGGGGCCCGAACGACTCACACCACGAGGAGCCCGAACGACTCACACACAAGGAGGGGCCCGAACGACTCACACCAGGACGAGGGCCCCGAACGACTCACACCACGAGGAGCCCGAACGACTCACACACAAGGAAGGGCCCGAACGACTCACACCAGGACGAGGGGCCCGAACGACGAGCCCGAACGACTCACACACAAGGAGGGGCCCGAACGACTCACACCAGGACGAAAGGCCCGAACGACTCACGCCACGAGGAGCCCGAACGCTCACACACAAGGAGGGGCCCCCCGAACGACTCACACCAGGACGAGGGACCCGCCACGAACGACTCACACCACGAGGAGCCCGAACGACTCACACACAAGGAGGGGCCCGAACGACTCACACCAGGACGAGGGCCCGAACGACTCACACCACGAGGAGCCCGAACGACTCGCACACAAGGAGGGGCCCGAACGACCCACACCAGGACGAGGGGCCCGAACGACTCACACCACGAGGAGCCCGAACGACTCACACACAAGGAGGGGCCCGAACGACTCACACCAGGACGTGGGCCCCGAACGACTCACACCACGAGGAGCCCGAACGACTCACACACAAGGAGGGGCCCGAACGACTCACACCAGGACGAGAGGCCCGAAAGACTCACGCCACGAGGAGCCCGAACGACTCACACACAAGGAGGGGCCCGAACGACCCACACCAGGACGAGGGGCCCGAACGACTCACACCAAGAGGAACCCGAACGACTCACGCACAAGGAGGGGCCCGAACGACTCACACCAGGACGAGGGGCCCGAACAACTCACACCACGAGAAGCCCGAACGATTCACACCAGGACGAAGAGCCCGAACGACTCAAACCACGAAGAGCCCGAACGACTCACACCAGGAAGAAGGGCCCGAACGACTCACACCAGGACGAGGAGCCCGAACGACTCACACCACGAGGAACCAGAACGACTCACACACAAGGAGGGGCCCGAACGACTCACACCAGGACGAGGGGCCCGAACGACTCACACCTCGAGGAGCCCGAACGACTCACACACTAGGAGAGGCCCGAACGACTCGCACCAGGACGAACGGCCCGAACGACTCACAGAAAACCCCCAGAAGCATGCACAAACGAACGAGCGGCCCGAACGACTCACAAAAAAAAACCCAGAAAACGAACGGCCCGAACGACTCACAGGAAACCCCCGAACGACTCACAGAAAACTCACGAGAACCACAGAAAACCCCCATAATAACCCAGACATATACACAAAGAAAGAACCAGACGTCTCAAATTCGACAGGATCTCCCCCTTTGTATACACTGACAAAAAAGACAACCCCCAAGGAAACCCTGCAGAACCCAACTACGCGCGTGCGCTCCAAAACGCCCGATTGAAGCCACTGGCCCCCCCCGTAACCATCTCGTCTACCCCATGCGCCTCTTGTCCACCGGCACGGCACGGTGGCGGGGGTGGCCGGAGGCCATTAGGATACTCCCAATGGTGGTGGGCGGAGACGCCAAAGGCTTCGAAAACCGCGAGGGGGGGGGAAAGGATAAGGGAGAAGAAAAGGACGGAGAGGGAGGGCTCGGAGGCCCTTGGAGGGGGGGTGTGTGTGTGCCCATCCGAGGGAACGGTGCCCCCCCCCTCCCCGTCATGAAAACGAGGCACCAGCCGTGGCAACGACCCCCCCCCTATCCCCCCCGCGACCTGAGTAGACCACCCAGGCCAGCGGGGGACGTCATAGGGGGCGGGGGTTCTGACTTCGATGAAAGAAGAAGGAGGAAAGCGGGAGGCAAGGATCAGGCAGACGAAAGCCCTTTTAGGCTTTACCCGGCGTGTGGACATGCCCTTTTTGGCTTTTGCGGGGGCAAACCCGCGCGGTCGCCCGCGGGCGACAGGGCGCCCAGGCCCTCTCCGCGCGCGCGCAGGCGCGTGGCAAACTACATGCGCACGATCGTCCGTGGAATCGAATGGAACCGTCCGCGGCGAGTCGTCCGCGGCGAATCAGGACCACGCCGCCCTGGAAGAAGAGGCGCTACAAGGATAAATTCTGCGACGCTGGAGATCCTCATGCGACGAGGACGCTGCAGAGAAACATTCTGCGCGCGTACGCACGACCTGGAACGACAAGGACAATACAGGAACAAATTCGGTGACGCTGGAGTCCCCGATGAGACGAAGAAGCTGCAGAGACACGTCTCATGGCGCAGCAACACCGAAGTGACGCAAACGCACCCCGCGACACGACAAGGTCGCTGCAAGAAGAAACTCGGCGACGCAGGAGTGCCTGGAAGCTACAGAGGCATGGACAGGAGGCTACGAGGAAACTGCAGAGGCATCGAAGCGTCTCGACGACGAGGAAGCTACAGAGGCATCTTCTGTGACACTGGAGCTCCACAGGACAAGTGCGCACTGAAACCCCGAAAAACGAAATCCCACCAGCCCTTTGGGCGTGAGTGGTTTAGGGAGCCCGCTCTGTTCTCAAACCCCCTTCTTCCCCTTCGGCGAGGGGTTTACCCCTCCCCCTACCCCCTCCCCCTGGACCTGGAGGGAGCCTTCCGCGGATCGTCAGAGGGTCCTTTGTCTATCCCTGGGAGAGCTAAAATCCCACCAGCCCTTTGGGCGTGAGTGGTTTAGGGAGCTCTCTCTGTTCTCAACCCCCCTTCTTCCCCTTCGGGGAGGGGTTTTACCCCTCCCCCTCCCCCCTCCCCCTGGGCCTGGAGAGGTCCCTCCGCGGGTGGCCGGCGAGGTCTTTTTCGACTCCTGGGAAGGCTAAAAAAACGACACCCCTCACGAGGATTCTGGCCCCGACGGGGGGGCCCAGAAAAAACCCTCTCCTCTTCTTTGAAGCCAAAATCATTGATTTTACCACGATGTTGGCCCCATTTTGCCCTTCTGAGGGGGCAGCGCTCCTTAAAGCTCACCTTTTCTTTCAAGCCAAAACCATTGATTTTACTTAGGTTTTGGCCCCATTTTGGCCTTCTGAGGGGGCAGCGCTAATTAAAGCTCCCCTCTTCTTTGATCGATTTCCTCCAAGATGGCCCTGAGAAGCGCCCACGAGGCACCAAGAGGCCTCAAGATGGCCCCAATAAGCCCCCAGGAGGCCCCCAAGAGGATCCCAAACGGCCCAAAGAGGCCCCCCCGAGGCACCCAAAACGCCGAAAAGCCCATCAGGACGACCCTCTACTCGCTTGGGCGTCGTTTCTGGACGGGCAGGAGGAGGGGCCCGAACGACTCACACCAGGACGAGGGGCCCCAACAACTCACACCACGAGAAGCCCGAACGACTCACACCAGGACGAAGAGCCCGAACGACTCACACCACGAAGAGCCCGAACGACTCACACCAGGAAGAAGGGCCCGAACGACTCACACCAGGACGAGAAGCCCGAACGACTCAAACCACGAGGAGCGCTTTCTCTCCCTCCTCCTCCGCCTCGTCCTTCTCCCGCTCCCACCACAAGGAGGATGTACAAGGAGGCGGGAGGAAGGAGGAACAGGGGAGATATGCGGGGGCAGGCGGAAACACGCCTGAAAAACACGACTGTCGGCATGCTTCGCTAGAGTTGCTGTTTTGAGATGGGCTGGTGGGGATACGCGAAGCGTGAAGAATTGGTGAATGTTTATGTGTATCCCGATTCGTTTAGTCATCCTTGTTTTTCCGTGGGTTCCTGGTCCTGGGGCACATCTTGGGCGGCACGACGACAACGACAACGTCTACCACGACCACGACGACGACGGCGGCAGCGACGATGCGAAGGCGACGGCGAAAACGATGACGTGGGGGGTGAAGGAAGGAGGAGGGATCCAGCGGGGTGAGTAGCAATAGGAATCCAAGCGAATTCTTGGGAGTCCAGGGGGGCCCAATAGAAGTCCAGGCGGCCACAAGAACAAGCACGCAGGTCCGATCTGGGTCAGATTGTATGATAAAGCCGTACAGTTCAATTGCTCCTGGCGATCGAAACTTGAACAACGAGATACTGAAAATGAAAGGTGTGAACAAACTACTTGGCTGGATTAGGCAATGTATGTCGGGATCAGGCTGAGCGAGGCCAGATTAGCAACAAGGATTATCGAATGTCGATGACAGAACCCAGCATAATCAAAGCACAGGGTGCATCGAATCGAAGCACAAGCGAACATCTGACGGCAACTGCGATTATGCAGGAAAGAGGTGGCATCAGGAGGAAAACACACACATACGCATTAGACAAATGTCACGCTGGGGAAGGCAAGCTGACGGAAAGACGGAGGTGCTGACAGGGCCTCTTTTGGCTTGGCGGCAGCTGCTGCTTCCCTTCAGACATCGCGACATAAATATCCAGCGTCACAAGATGCGACGCCAGTGACATGCTGAAAGGTCGAGGAGCACGTTCTCAAGCTCAATGACCATACCTTTAACTCTCCGTCGCGGGACCCGCTGATAACTGTCTGCCCTGCCCAGTCAACTCTCATACACTCTATTGAATCCGCATGGCCATTGAGCGTGACGATGCACTGGCCACTTGTGGTGTCCCATAACTTCAGTAGACAATCCTCAGAACCACTTAAAGCTCTTTGAGACTTCGGGTCGAATGCCAAGCACCGGACAGGCTCTGTATGGCCGTCCAATGTCAGGAGACATTCTGCCGTCCTCAAATTCCAAAGCTTGATCGCCCCATCGCTTGAACCACTCAACGCTTGCCGGCGGCCCCAATCCACACCGACACACTTAACGGCGCTCGCGTGACCAGAGAGCACGGCAGCCTGCGACCCGGTCTGCAGATCCCAGAGCTCGAGCGTGCGGTTGCTGCACGCGCACAGCGCCTGCTGCAGATTCCAGTTGACCACCACGTGCATCGCCCAACCGCCCTGTACCGCCATGCTCTTTTCGCACTGGACGCACGTGGCGTCGCTCGACGCCTGGTCTGCGTCAGCCTCCACCTGCCGAAGCACAGCCGCGGGTAGAAGGCAGAAGGCCGACATGCTCCACAGCCGCAGGGTGCGATCGTCCGAGGCGCTGACGACGCCCGAGCCCCCCTGCCAGTCCACGTCCACGCTCCAGATCCAACCGTCGTGGCCCTGCAGCGTACCGATGCACTCCAGCTCGTCCAGGTCCCAGCTGCGCAGCGCGCGGTCTGCAGAGCCGGTCACCGCCCGCTTCGACTCCCAATCCACAGACACGCACGTGACGGACGCCGCGTGCCCCTCGGGCGACACGAGTGGCTCCTCGTCCCTGCCAGTGAGGCTGGGGAGCCGACCAAGAGCGGTACCTGCCCCACCCTTTCGGCAGGAGGTCGGGGGGGGGGGGGCAGGGATGGGAATCTAAAACTGATAAGGCGTTTGGTTGCGCGCAGAAAAACCCCCAAGTACTCCCTGCCTCAACAGGCCCCGCAAGAAATGCAGGGCGGACTCAACACCCCAACCCAGGGGCGAAGAGCGCCTCAGGGGCGCCGCTGGAGGCGGCGCTGGGGTGTCGAGACCGCCCCGGACTAAGCGGGGAGCCTGTTGAGGCCAGCCGAGACTACCTGCAAGGGCTGTCTGTGCGCAGTCCGCAGCCTTTTACGAGGCAGGGATGAGAGATGCAGCGAGGAGGCAGGATGCGGGGAGGGCGGAAGTGGGGGCCGAAGATGGGACGGCAGGCGAGGCACCTCCGCGCTACTCGGCTCCCCAGTGCGGTCCCACAGCCGCAGCGTCCCGCTGGTGGACCCGGTGAGCGCGGCAGTCCAGCGCATCATTAGCACCTGCTCTGGGGCGGCCCCATGTTCGACGTCCCCGCGCGCGGTGATGGCCCCAGGAGGGGCAGAGACGGGCCCCACGCAGACGGCATCTAGACACTACCTCCGTGCCTGGCCAGTGCCATCCTGGGCCCGGGCGCGCACTGCTGGCCAGAGCCAGGATACCAAATTACAGTCAAGGTGCCGCAATAAGGAACGCTGAGTAAGGAATGAACACCCTTTTCGGCACCAAAACTGCCTGGGTGCACGAAGAGGGCTAGAGGAATAATCACGGAATGATCCAAGAAACAGCGAGCCCCTTCCGAACTCGAATCGGTCCTTATTTCAGCGTCTTGACTAAATACACCATCCTAGGGTCCAGGATGGCTCTGGCCAGGCACATTGGTGGTTCATAGATGCCTTTTGCGGACAGAGAGCCGCTGGCAGGTCATCGGGAGACAAGAGGGAAGAGCCTGGGGGTCAGGCAGGCCAGGACTGTGAACCCCCCAAGAGACTAGCACACACAACGTATAGAAAAACAAAGCGCAACATGTGTTGCAATGTTTTGGCTCAAGGCTCAAGAGCTGTTTAGGGTTTGTATTCCCTCTGACTGTTTGTGCTCCCTCCGACTGTTTGTTTTCCCATGTTTTACCTATACAACCACCCTTCGGGTGATAAGGAGGTGAGGGGGGGGGGAGGGACCAACGTCGCACTCGATCGATCTCACTCTCGATCGATCTCACTATCGATCTCACATTCGGTCTCACTATCGATCTCACTATCGATCTCCCATTCGGTCTCACTATCGATTTCCCTATCATCTCACATTCGGTCTCACTATCGATCTCACTATCTATCGATCTCACAATCGATCTCACTATCGATCTCACTATCGATCTCTATCGATCGATCTCACATTCGGTCTCACATCGATATCATTATCGATATCACAATCGATCTCACATCGATCTCACAATGTCTCACTATCGATTTCACTATCGATCTCACATTCGTCTCACTATCGATCTCACAATCTATCTATCGACAATCGATCTCACATTCGGTTTCATTCGCTATCGATCTCACTATCGATCTCACTATCGATCTCACTATCGATCTCACTATCGGTCTCATTATCGATATCACAATCGATCTCTCACTATTGATCACAATCGATCTCACAATCAATCTCACTTTCCGTCTCACTATCGATCTCACTATCATATCACAATCGATCTCACAATCGATCTCACATTCGGTCCACTATCGATATCACATTCGGTCTCTCTATATCGATATCATCATCACCATCATCATCATCATCATGATCAGCACCATCATCATCATCATCATCATCATCACATCATCATCATCATCATCAACATCATCATCATCGGGGCACCGACGGGACACCGACGGGACACCGGCGGGACACCGGCGGGACACCGCGCGCCACCGGCCGCCCGGTGGAGAATCGTTTGGTCCGGCCGCGCCTCAGCCACAGAGGACACCACCGGGACACCGGCGGGACACCGCGCGCCACCGGCCGCCCGGTGGATCATTTGGTCCGGCCGCGCCTCAGCCACAGCCCAGAGGGTTGCGCGAGCCCTAATATGGCATGCGTGCGTAGCGTGCCATCTTGCGAACAATTAGAGGATGAATGTTTTTTGTATCTTACATGGGCAACATATTATGATATGTTACATATAAAGTGGCACGCGTTTTGTTCTAAGGTCCGCAAGCATTATTTCAGCACGCGCGTCGATCGCAGGTTCATGAACTATAAGGTATTAAGATATGTTGTTTGTAGGTTATTCATATTCGTCTTGCGTCGCTACCCGTTCCGCACGTTATTGTTCCGTTACCAATGAATGATCATGGCAAAGCAACTTAACAACGATTTGTAGGAACATATTTGGAAGCATTCCCCTTAAGATTCAGATGAGAACCGTGTTGTAGAATTCTGCTGTTCTCGCAGTCGTAGTCGCATTCGCGATGGGAGTCGCAGTGGCAACGGCAGTCGCAGTCACAGCCTCAGCCTCAGCCTGCCTCAGCATCAGCCCCATCCTGCCTCAGCCCCAGCCTGCCTCAGCCTCAGCCTCAGCCTGCTTAGAATTCAGCCTCAACATCAGTCTGCCTTCAGCCGCGGCCTCAGCCTCAGCTTGCCTCAGCCTCACCCTGCATCAGGATCAGCATCAGCCTGCCTCAGCATCAGCCTGCCTCAGCGTCAGCCTCAGCCTGCCTCTGCCTCAGCCTCAGCCTGCTTCAGCCTCAGCCTCAGTCTGCCGTCGGCCTCGGCCTCAGCCTCAGCCTGCCTCAGCCTCAACCTGTCTCAGCCTCAGCCTGCATCAGCCTCAGCCTCAGTCTCAGCCTGCCTCAGCATCAGCCTGCCTCAGCCTCAGCCTCAGCCTCAGCCTCAGCCTGCCTCAGCCTCAGCCTCAGCCTGCTTCAGCCTCAGCCTCAGTCGGCCTGCAGCCCCAGCCTCAACCTCAGCCTGCCTCAGCCTGAGCCAGCCTCAGCCTCAGCCTGAGCCTTGAGATGGCGGCGAGTAGTAGGAGGAGGAGGGGGGGGAGGAGGAGAAAGAAGAAGAGGAGGAGGAGGAGGAGGAGGAGGAGGAGAGAAGGAGGAGGAGGAAGAGGAAAAGGGGGAGACGGAGGAGGAGGAGGAGGAGGAGGAGGAGGGGAAGAGGAGGAGGAATAGGACGGCGTCGCCGTCGCCGTCGCCGAGGAGGTGACAGACGACGACGACGACGACGACGACGACGACGACGACGACGACGACGACGACGACGACGACGGCGGCGGCGGCGACGGCGACGGCGGCGGCGGCGACGGCGACGCCTTCCTCGTCCTCTCCTCCTCCTCCTCCCCCTCCTCCTCGTGGTCGTCCTCCTCATCCTCCTCCTCCTTATCACCCTCCTACCCCTCATCCTCCTCCTCCTCCGCATCATCATCAGCAGCAGCATCATCATCATCCGCATCGTCATCATCATCAGCATTATCATCATCGTCATCTCCATCACCAGCAGCATCAACATCGTTATCATCATCATTATCACGCTCGCCCTCATCCTCCTCCCCCTCGCCCTCCGCCTCCTCCCCCTGTCCCCTCGTCGGCGACGTCGACGTCGTCGTCGTCGACGGCCGTCCCTCCGACGAAACATTGGCCCCCAGACTTGTCCTGGCATGCGTTCCGACCAGAATTCTGGATCCAGCCGTGGCAACGAGAAGTCCCCCGCGGGACCAAATGCGCCCCAGAAACATTAAAGACCCTCGACCCTCGACGACGACGACGACGACGGCGGCGACGACGACGACGACGACGACGACTGCGATGACGACTGCAACGACTGCGCCGACGACGTCGACGACGACGACGAAGACGACAACGACGACGACGACGAAGACGACGACGACGACGACGGAGACGACGACGACGACGACGACGACGAAGGGCGAGGCGAGGGGAGACGTTCAATCAAGCACAGGCTGGGCCCGCGCGCGGGAGTCGGGCCGCGGCCCAGCGCGCGCAGCGCGCCCCAGCGCGAGGAGCGCGCTGTCGCACAGCGCCGAGGCGAACGCGTCGCCGAACTCCTGGGAGAGGGGGGAAGGGTAGGAAGTTGAGCTCAAACGAAATCAACGGAACTCAATAGCAACTCAATGATCGGTCGATGCGGCTGCCGCGCCCGTGACGCATCGCGAGCCGATGCGCCTGCGCGGCGGCCGCCTCGACAAATCGTTGAGTTGCTATTGGGTTTCGTTGACTCCCTTTGAGTTGTATGTCGCCCACCCCGTAACGTTTAATGCGGCCCGTCGCCCCGAACTGACGCGACGCGCGATCTACGGCGGACGTCGGACGACGGGCGACGGACGGCGGGCGACGACGACGACGACGACGACGACGACGACGACGACGACGACGACGACGACGGGTTCGGCGACATTTCGATCCACGGCGGCCGACCCCATCGCATCAGTCATCCACTGCACCTTAACCTCCTCGCCTACCACCCTATCAACCACCCCTCCTACATCATTCACCCCTCCCAATCCTCATTTACTTAGTTGGTATGGGCGTGTAGGAATGCGTTTCGCTCGAGGCGTCCTCCTGCCGCGCGGCAGCTTCTGCGCCGCCCTCGCCGCCCTGGATGTCGAGGTGCGCCGCGCACTCGACGGGCATGTTCGTCACCAGCGCCGTCGCCACCACGCGGAACTTCGCGGCGATGATGCTGCCCTTCGTCGCCACGATCGCCTCGGCCACCTGGGTGTTCTGAAGCAGCTTCTTGGTGGCCAGCACGACGTAGAACGCACCTCTCACGTGTGTGGTGCACATGAGCGCTGCAACTGAGTATGCACGCATGGACGTTACCTCGCGGGGCCCGCTGATCAGCACGGTGCCATTCTGCACGACCGACTGCGCCACGTACACGGCGTAAGCGATGCTTGGGGCAGTCGCGAAGTCGCCCATGTCGTTGCAGGCGTAGGCGTCGTAGCTGAGGCCCGCCTGGCGCGCCCAGTACGCGTGCGTCCCCCAGCCAGAGAAGTACTCGAGCGTGTCGCGGGTGCGCTGCACGTGATCGTGCCCAGATAGCTCAAGTCCTATACCGATGCCAATGCTGGATGTCATGTATGCCGATGGATGTTCCACTTGGTCTCCCCGCGCAGCTGCCGAGGTCACGCGCGCAATAAACTCTACTGGAACACCAGGCGGCGCCGCCAGGCTCTGCACATCATGCGCCGCCGCCGCCGCCGTTGATGGCACCGATGACGCCGCAGATGACCTCGCTGCTGCTGCCTCAGCTGGTGGTGCAGCTGCAGGCCGCCGTCGAAGTAATGGTTCTGAATCGTCATCACTTACTGGCGTTCGTGATGACGGCCTCTTCTTCACCGCCATCGATGGGGCGCGCGCTGTGCCACGTGGGGCGAATGCCAGCCCAGCGATGCGAACATGGTTTGAGCCAAAATGGCTAAGTACGCCCGGAGTGGTGAGGACGGGACAGGCCTGCGCCAACTGCAGTTGCGGTATGCTGGACCGTCCATTGCACCATCTCTGACGGGACACCGCTGATCTGCC